GGACAGTTTGCTGTTTCCCGGGTGCTCGGGTCCGGCATGTTGCTGACAGAGTGGAGGGATTATTGGGAGGGGCTGGGGATGACTCAGCGGTTATGGTCCATGTTGGTACCAATGACAAAGTAAGAAGAAGATGGAAGGTCCTAAAAATTAGTTCAGGGATTTAGCAAGTAAACTGAAGAAAAGGACCTCCAAAGTGGTATTCTCTGAGATATTACCTGTGCCACGCGCTACAGTGGAAAGGCAGTGGGAGATTAGAGAGGTCAATGCGTGGCTGAAGTCTTGGTGCAGGAAAGAGGGTTTTGGTTTTCTAGAGCACTGGGCCAACTTTGCGCTTGGGTACAACCTTTATAGTAGTGATGCAGTGCACCTAAACGGAAGAGGGTCTGCTGTGCTGGGGGATAGGATGGCTAGAAGGTTGGATGAGATTTTGAACTAGTAGTAGGGTGGAAGGGTCATAGCAATCTACAAAATCTACAAAATGGAGATAGCACAGAAAGGAGATTTAGCATAGTATAAGGGGGGAGGGGCAAGCTCAGAATAGAGGAGGTATGTGATATTGATAAAAATTCTCAAAAAGTACAAATGACTCATGGCAATATTAAATGTATGCTTACTAATGCAAGGAGCCTATATAACAAAATGGGGGAACTAGAGGCAATAGCATACACTAAACAATATGACATAATAGGCATAACAGAAACATGGTGGGATGAGACACATAACTGGGCAGTTAACTTAAATGGGTACACGTTATTTAGGAAGGATAGGAAAAAGGGTGGTGGGGTATGTTTGTATGTCAACCATGAGTTACAGCCAAATCTTAAGCAAGTGGAATGTGATGAGGAAAATGTGGAAGCTTTATGGGTAAATATCTTCTTGTGGGAAAAGGAGGGAAATCAATTATTGATTGGGATATGTTATAAACCACCTAATGTTAATATTGACGAGGAACAACAGCTGTTTGAGCAAATTGAGAAAGCTGCAAATCTGGGTAACACGTTAATTATTGGAGATTTTAATTACCCAGATATAAATTGGGACAGAGGGACTAGTAGCTCAGCAAAGGGAATTACGTTTTTAAACTTGTTAAATTACACCTTCATGTCACAACTTGTACAAGCACCAACTAGAAAGGACGCTTGTGTCTGGATCTCGTTATAATAAACAACGTTGCTCTTTTGACCAACATTCAAGTAGGTGAGCACTTGGGAAATAGTGATCACAATATAGTGTCCTTTGAAATAAACTAAAAAAACAAAAGCACATGGGGAATACTAAAACATATAATTTTAAAAAGGCCAATTTCAATAAGTTAAGGTCAGCTTTACAATACATTGACTGGCATAAACTCTTTAGTGAAAAGGACACTGAGGATAAATGGATGATCTTCCAACAAATATTAGAAAGGTACATTTCTAAGTATGTACCATTGGGAAATAAATATACAATAAACAAATTGAAACCAATGTGGCTTACTGGGAAAGTGAATCAAGAGATTAAAAAGAAAAGGGCATTTAAATTTGACAAATCAGAGGCATCCTATAAAAGATATAAGGAAGCCAATAATGTGTGCAAAAAGGCAATTAGATTTGCTAAACTTCAAAATGAAAAAATGATAGCCAAAGAAAGCAAAACCAAACCCAAAGCGTTTTTTAAGTACATAAATTCGAAAAAAATTAAAGTGTAGGTACACTAAAAACCGGGATGGGGATGTTCGTAAATGACCACCAGGAAAAGGCAGACATTTTAAATAACTATTTCTCCTCCGTAAATATTAAGGAAGTACCCATGGCAATAGATGTGCAAATGATTGCTGCAAAAAACTTGCAGAAAAATTGTAATTGGCTAACTCAAGACATGGTGCAATTAAAGAAAGTTAATAAACAAAGCTCCTGGGCCTGACGGTATTCACCCACAAGTACTGAAGGAACTAAGTGTGGAAATAAGTGAACCTCTGTTTTTAATCTTTCAAGATTCCTTTCTTTCAGAAAGTGTTTCAGAGGGTTGGAGGATGGCAGATGTGGTTCCTATATTCAAATGGGGTTCAAAATCCTTGCCTGGAAATTATAGACCTTTAAGCTTAACATCTGTGGCTGGTAAAGTATTTAAAAGGTTATTAAGGGATAATATTTAATAATTCCTTCAGAAGAAGGTGCTTATCAGCAAAAATTAACATGGTTTTATGAAGCAGAGGTCATGTCAAACTAACTTGATTGCATTCTACAAATAAGTAAGTAGAAGTATAGATCAGGGTGTTGCAGTGGATGTGATCTATTTGGATTTTGCCAAGGCATTTGATACAGTTCCTCCCAATAGATTAGTGTTTAAACTAAAATAAATTGGTCTAAATGGAAATTTGTGTTCTTGGATAGAACATTGACTTAAAAACAGAGTACAAAGAGTTGTCATTAATGGTACATTTTCAAGCTGGAAGTGGCAAGTGTTGTCCCTCAGGGTTATGTTGAAGAAAGCATTGAAAGTCAGGTTTCAGTGTTTGCAGATGACACAAAACTCTGTAAAGTAATACAATGTGAGCAGGATATTACTTTGCTGCAGAGGGATTTAGATAGACTGTGGGACTGGGCACTCAAACGACAGATTAAATTTCATGTAGAAAAATGCAAAGTTTTGTACCTCAGCGTGGAACATGCACAGGAAACATATACGAGAAGTATTTGGGAATTGGTATAGACAACAAACTAGGCAACAATGTGCAACGTCTATCAGCAGTGGCTAAGGCCAGTAAGGTATTGCTAAGGGCATTAATTATTGGGATGAGAATATCATTTTGTCTCTTTATAAATCACTGGCAAGATCACAACTTGAATATGCGGTGCAGTTTTGGGCACCTGTTCTAAAGAAGGATATCTTGGCACTAGAAAGAGTGCAGATGCAGGCTACAAAATTAATAAAAGGAATGGAACATATCAGCTATGAAGAAAAGGTTAACAAATTTAAACCTATTTAGTTTAGAAAAACGTCGCCTGAGAGGGGATATGATAACATTATACAAATATATCCGGGGCCAATACAAACCATTGTGTGGAAATCTATTCACAAACCGGACTTTACATAGGACACGAGGCCATGTGTTTAGACTGAAAAAAATAAGATTTCGTCTAAGGCAAAGGAAAGGTTTTTTTTAACCATGAGAACAATAAGGATATGAAACTTTCTGCCTGAAGAAGTGGTTTTATCAGAGTCCGTACAGATGTTCAAACAGCAACTAGATGCATACTTTCAAAAACAGAAAATTAAATTATATAATTTTTCAATGTAGGTTAATAGCTTCTTGATCCAATAATCTTTTTTCCTAGTTTGTTGCAAAATTGGAAGTGCTTCAAACTGGCTTTTTTTGCCTTCTTTTGGATCAACAGCAAAAACAAATGTGAGGAAGGAACTTAATGGACACGTCTCTTTTCAGCCTATGTAACAAGGTGAGTAAAGTGAGCTGTGAGATCCTCCCCCTGTTACCAACCTGCATCTTCTAATAAATGGGGAAATTGCTTTGTCAATCACTGGAAGGATTCACAGGAAAAAAATAAATATTGTTTTAGGAAATGGTGTGTGTTTTTATGTTTGCCTCCATGTGATTAGTAATCATGCAGGAGTTGTGAAATGTGTGGATAGAATTATTTGAAATATTCATTGAGGTGACTAATTCCAGGACAGAGAGAACAATATTTCGAGTTACTTAACAAAAAATATTCTCCTAAATAATAGTGTCCATAAACAATATATACAAACATTTGCCTAAAATTTAACTTTTTTTTCTGACACATTCTTTAAATGTCCACCTTTTAGGTGGTCCAGGAAGAGTCAGTGGATTTGGATCGGTGATGGACCTTGAGAATCTCCAGAGAAGTACAATGTTACGGCAATATTTAATTCTGCTTCCGAAACCACTTGACATTCCATAAATATCCGAAATAATATAAACTCTAGTCGGTCCCACGTTGGGAATATCACTGGGTTACAATTAATCAGGCTGTGGTTGAGCCACATTGTGTGGAAGGCCAGGGCTGTCCTGCAGGTATTATTTGGCAACAGGAAGGGCATTATTGGTCAGTATATGTTCTAACTATTTCTGGTCTGTAGAAAAGTTCTGAAAATGAAGTGAATTTCTGGTTTCTGTGGCCCTACAGACAATGAGCCCCTGTTTGCTGGCTCACAGCTTTTTATTTAGGTCTCTGCTCGCTTTGGGGAACCAACATGAATTACAGTTTTGTTCCTACCCAAACTAAAGGCAGGTTTAACCCTCGCTGCTCCTACTCTGTGTATATTGGCCCCTTTACAAGAAAGAACCACCTCGCTCATACGGCATGCTTTGTTTTCTTTTCAGGAATACACATTGTGTCTGTTTAGATATTACCCCTAACACAAACAGGAAACTTGCCAATGGGCTGTTTCAGCGAGTTCTATTCTGTGCCCCTACACAGCATCAATGCAAGCAACACAACTCCCAGCTATCAGCTGTTCTCTCTCAATCTGAATGTCAAACCTATTTGCAAAACTTCCCTCCTTTGCATATTTTCCAGGATAAACAAAGTCTCACCGATAAGGAAGACAAGAAGGTTTGATTGAGGACTGATCGATAATAAATCAATGCAGATTGTAGTAACCAGTAAAAATACACCAGTATGCAAACTACCGGGGACTGTAAGCCCCATGACTCTCATCCAACTAACAGGGACTGCAATCTCCATGGCTATTCGCCAAATACAGGGAAATATAATGCCAAGGACTCCTAGCCAGCTACCAGTGAATATATTGTCTATGGCTTTTTGCTAACAGCAGTATACCACAATCCATGTAACTCTCAGCCAACTATTAGGTACTATAATCCTCGTAACTCTAAGCCAACTACAGGGTACTATAATTACCATGACTCTCAGACAGGTATTGGTACTATAATTACCATGACTCTCAGACAGGTATTGGTACTATAATTACTATGACTCTCAGACAGGTATTGGTACTATAATTACCATGACTCTCAGACAGTGAATGGGTACTATAATTACCATGACTCTCAGACAGTGATTGGGTACTATAATTACCATGACTCTCAAACAGTGAATGGGTACTATAATTACCATGACTCTCAGACAGTAAATGGGTACTATAATTACCATGACTCTCAGACAGTGATTGGGTACTATAATTACCATGACTCTCAGACAGTGATTGGGTACTATACTTACCATGACTCTCAGACAGTGAATGGGTACTATACTTACCATGACTCTCAGACAGTGAATGGGTACTATAATTACCATTACTCTCAGACAGTGAATCGGTACTATAATTACCATAACTCTCAGACAGTGAGTCGGTACTATATTTACCATGACTCTCAGACAGTGAATCGGTACTATAATTACCATGACTCTCAGACAGTGAGTCGGTACTATATTTACCATGACTCTCAGACAGTGAATCGGTACTATAATTACCATGACTCTCAGACACTGGATAGGTACTATGATTCACATAATTCATCTGTTGGGGCTATAATCGCTAGACATGTGCACAGTGGAACAATGCGCTTCAGCTAAATAGTTTTGGACAAAAATGTATTTTAGTTCAAACAATAATTCCGTCCATTGTATTCTGACACTGAATGGGTGAAATGTAACTGTGACAGACCCATCTGTCTGGATTACAAATGCTTGGCTCGCCTGTTTTGCCGATTACATGAATTTCCCCATTCGTATGCTTTATTCAAGGGAATGTCGGTTTTGTCGAACGGAACTACCGAACGGACGGCCACCCAGAAGAAGAAGTGTGCTGCTGGTTAACCTATTGATCCCAATTAGAACGTTGCGGTTAACCACAGACACTTCTCAATTAAAACCGAATGCCGGGTGGTCGTCGTTCGTATGTCGACCACGAGGCGGCGGCCATTTTGCCATGCGAACGACCAGCGGTGTTCGACGATTATTTCATGGATCTGAAAACGGACACTTTTTCAGCCGAACACCGCTGAAGCCGTCGACCTCCCCTTCTCAATCGACAAAAGTATACGAATGCCAGCCGTTCGGGAGATTCAACCACACGAATGGACTTAACCCAGATAGCCGTCCCATGGAGTCAATCGCATACCGAAGAACTGAAAGAGACTTTGACTCCATGGCGATTGAACTGTGCGAATGGGATCTGAGCGCTATTCTCCAATAATGTGCCCTCAGATCCAGGCTATCTGGGGATATGCAATACGAATGTAATATGTTCGGCAGTTATTAAGTTATGGATTTTCATGTGTTTTTGTGACTTGTGTTTAAAATGGCGATTTCCTCTGCTAGGGGAGATAATTGAGTTACTTCCCAATTATCTCCCGAGCAGAGGGGAGGGAACTGTGATGTATGCTGGGAATATTGTGGGGATGTATGTCCAAAATGTCCCCATGTCCCTCTGTGATTTCAGTCTCCCATTTGGTCCCCTAGGGGAGTGTCCACCAAGTGGGAGACCTGCATAAATACCGGGCAGGTAGCCCACAGTAAATCAGTTCGTGTTTTACCCTCAAAGCGTAGCTTGGTCTCGTTATTGGGGGGATTTGGTTACCAGCGACTAGAGACGGCTTATTTGGATTATTTGCCGGTTGGGAGATATTGACGTTCGGTTACTATTCGCGATTCGTGGATTTGCAGCTCGTGAAGGGAATTAACCGTACAAGTACCGTTCGGGAGTTTGGAGTGTTCCCTGGCTGGCGGTTCGCATGGTTTTACTATACCCGCTACCCGACCACATTATTGCGAACGGGGGATACTCGCTAAACGGCGGTTTGTACATTTCATTACTGAAGGTACCGTAACAGTAACCAATATTTTCATTATTTGATTTTGACAAATCGAATGAGATGATCTTTGTATTAAAGGAACACTATTGCGTTAGGAACACATGTATTCCGAATGCTATATAGGTGACTAAGGCCCCGTTACGCCG